AAATAGGCATCTATTTAATTTTTAAAGCTGTATTTGTTTATTTATTATGATAGATAGATAGAGAGAGGAAGAGGAGAGGGTGAGGGAGAGCAGATGGTGAGCATGTGGAAATCAGAGGACACACACACGCACACACACACACACACACACACACACAAACACACATGCATGAATGCCATTATGATAGGCACTTGGAGATCACAGGATTATTTGATGGAGTCTTTCTTTCCTTCCTGGGCTTGGAGTATCAAATTCAGACCATCTGGCTTAAGCCTTTACCCACAGAGCTTTCTCACTGGTTTTCGCTCTTTCGTTCTTTGTTTCTATTCACTGCACATAGTAATGAGGTTCATAAAGACACGTCCTTACAAGTAGATTATGTACTTTGATCATGCTCATCCTCTCTTCTTTCTCCATATGCTCGCCGTTCCCATGAAGTCCCCCATACAATCTCACTTCTATTTTCCTGTCGTATTTACCCAGGAAAGGTGCTAGTTAGTTTTAACTGTCAACATCACTTAACCTAGAATGAGGAATTGTCTGGATCAGGTTGACCTGTGGACATTTCTGTGGTACTGTCTTGATTGTTAATTAATGTGGGAAGAAATACTCATGGTGGGTGGCACCATTCCCTGGGCATGGAGGCTGAACTGTATAAGAGAAGAAGAAAACTAGCCGATGACACAGCAAGCAGTTCAGAAAATGGTGTGGCATGCACTTATTTCGCTATGCTCTTGACTATAGCTGTGATGTGGCTCGATGTTCAAATTTCTGACTTGATTTCCCTCAATGATGGGTTGTAGCCTGAAATTTTAAGCCGGATAAATTCTTTCCTTTACAAGCTACAACAGAGGTGATTCTAGGACATATGATATTGTATGTACAATATAATGTATTATAATATCCTTATTACATATTATATACACACATATAATACAATGTATAAAATATATATTAGGATTCACAAATGAGAGATTCATGATATATGTTTTTTTGAGTCTGACTTATTTTGCTTGATATGATAATGTGTAATTGTGTTCATTTCCTGCAAACAGCTGACTAGAACTCCATTGTATGTAAGTGTGTCACACTTTCTGTATCCATTCATTGAATGGGCACAGGCTGATCTTGTAAACTGACTATTGTGGAAAGTGCTGCAAAAGACATGGATTTTCAAATAAGCCCATGTGATACCACTCTGGGATGCGTATCTGAAGAATCCTAAGCTAACACATCAGGGGCTTCTCTTTCTGACAACAGTTGCTAGAAAATACAATGGGACCTGCAGAGTCAAATGTAAGAGTCTGTTTCTCCAGACCGGGACCTCTCACATTATCCCCGCATGATTTCTGAGCATGAATAAGTCCATGGCAGCTTCCATTCCTGGAAGAAAAAGATGTCTTTTAGGTCAAATATGCAGATATATGTTCAAAGATCCTGTAAGAAGTAGAGATGGTAGCTGGGTTCTTTGCAGGCTTGAGCGGATTCTTCAGTGGACTGGTAGATATGGGTAGTGGGTTTTGCTCTAAATCTTTGAAAGGATACACAGAATAGTTTTCTGTAAAGAGTGAAAATTTGGATTATTTTAGGATTGTGATGAGGTAGGAGACCTCACTTTTTATCGTATACACTTATATAATTACATTATTTCTATATTCTATATATTTTGTATGAATAAATATTACTACTTGTATTCAGGTTGAGAATTCCTAATACAAAAGTCTGAAGCTGGGCCTGCTTTCCAGGCTGAAAACATTGAGCTTCAGTGTGATGCCCCGTGATGGGGCAGTTAGATTAACTGTGTAAAATTGCTTCAAGGCTGTGCCTAAAACATATATGTGAAACATAAATGAGTTTTGCCTTAAGATTTTGGACCCATCCCCAAGATATCTCATCATGTGTTATGCAAGAATTCTGAAAAATGGGGAAAATCTTGAAACACTTGTGGTGCCAGCATTTTTGATAAGAGATAGCAAACCTATAATAAGATTTTTTTTTTTATTAAAAATCACAAGCAGGTGAAAGAGAAAGATAAGAAGGGAGGGGTGGGAGAACAGAGAGAAGAAGGAAGGAAAGGAGGGAGGGAAAACAATGAAAAGAGATGGTAAAGTAGTATTAGGGACATAGTGACCAGCAGTGTGGCAGGATGTCAGCTCTCCACAAGACGCTCCCCAGACACAGCTCTGCCGAGTCCATGGAAGTGGCTTCCAGGTTTAGAAAACACAGTAAGGAAATGGAAACATTTAAAGTATTCATGCCACATCCTTATCTGAATTTCTGGGGTGGGGTGGTAGGGCTTTTTAAATGATCCCCAGGTGGTTGCAGTGTGTGGTAATGTTAGAAGACAAAACTGTCTCCCATGGTTTGCCAAAGGGCACGTGTTAAGGACCAGCAGACATCCTTCCAACAAAGGCCCCTCCGTGCTGGCAGCAACTGATACAGGCAAGGGCACCATGCTCAGATGACCTCCATCTTGGAATTTCACTGGTGGATTGAGACTGAGCATCTAGATGTGCGCAGGCCTTGGCCCATAGATGGAATCTAGGCTGGTGGCTTTTTAGTTTATATTTTAGAAAGGCTGCAGACCTGGAAGTGGGAGTCAGAACTGAGGAAGACCCAGCAGTGAGGGATTACCTATGTGTTACAGCCTTCAAGCGTCTTTAGTAAGATGCTTCACGTTTTGGGCTACCAGGTGAAGAATTTTAGAATGGAAACTTTGAGAGAGAGAGGAAAAAAAAGAATGAGAATCACTGACACATTGATCTAGAGAGAGATCGGACAGTTATGGGCCAGGAACTAAGAATAGATTTCCATTTTTAAGCAATTGGAAAAGAAATATGAAACACGTGAAAATGACACAAAATTCAAATTCCAGGGCCCACAAATAGAAATGTACTGAAATGCAGCCACACCACTTATTTGTGGCTCTGTCTCTGGCAGCTCCGCTGAGCTAAGTAGCTGGGCTCGTATCTACATGGCTAGACAATCACTATGTGACCCTTTCGCAGGACATATTTGAAACTTCTAAAAGGAGAAATGGATGTCCCTGTTATTTTAGGGGGTTGGTTTTGCAGTTTCTCTATTTATATCACAGAGAAAATTTGGAAGAGAGCTTGTATGCCTGTCATTTGCAAAAACATACTCTGTGCATGCATTCAGTCATTGACTCATGGCAGACACCCCACGCCCCACCCCACGCCCCACTTTTGCCTTCTTGCTTTGGGAGACAGATGTATGGTCCTCTCTTTTCCTCTTCAAATTTCTTCTTCAAAGACTATTTTTAGGGTGGTGGCAGTCACGTCGAAGTCAGCTCGTAAAGCGTCAGGAGTTCTACCTGACCCCACAGACACACAGCTTCCTTTTTTTTTTTTTTTTCTTTTTTCCTATCAACCTCTTTGAAAGCTCTTTAGCTAGAGGTGGGGCCCCCCTCATGTGCCACTACCCCGTCATCCCTGCTGGAATTTTGACTACCTGATTTGTGTTGTTGTGAGTTTTTGAGTGCAGCAGCCATGTCCTGCTCATCATACAGCACTTCGAAATACTCCTTCTTCTTCAGCTCTTGGGTTTTTTTTTTTTTTTTTTTTTTGTCCCCCAGCTTCCCTCTTCCATGATGTTTCCTGAGCTTTGCCTGTGTGGAAGGAGGGGCTTGACGTAGGGCTGAGCTTATTCTCAAACATTTTGATTATTTTCAAGTCTCTGCCTCTCAACCACCGCCCTCTGCAAAACAGAAGCTTTCGTGGTCAAGGTTGGGAGCAGCACCAAACTACAGGTATAAACATAAATGCTTAGAAGGAAGTTTGACAACAGGAACATTTAGCAAAATAACAGGAAGATCTTTCCTAGGGCCTTTGGACTCCCCAGCAAGGCCATGGGCTTGGACTAGGTTTACGGCACCAGGTGTAAATTCTGTCCTGTGGAGAAGGCCTGAAGTCTGACTGTAAATGGTTGGTTTCCCCCATAATAGTCATACCACTATTGAACCGGTGGGTGCTAGTGCTGGACATGACTGATGTCTTCTCTCCCCGCTGGCCTGTGTAACACTCTTCGGCACTAGCCAGTAGGCAGCAGGGTCCCTCTGTGTCCTGCAGCGCAAAGTGTGTGGCCTCTCTAGAGATAGGGTCTTACTCTCTTGATAGGCAAACAAGAGCGATGGCAAAGCCTGTGTCATTCTAGGCACCTGTGGGGACTCCTTGAACAATAAGTCAGAGAGAAGTTACTAGACACCGAATTCTGTGGTGAAAAGTGTCGTTTCTAGGAATCATCTTGGGTGAGTGCTGGGTTAGAGATGGGAGGCTAACATCCCAGGGATACACAGATGGAAGGAGCTCCATCCCGTGGAAAGAGAGGGTAGACACTTGTAGAATGGACACTTTGCTTACCAGAATGCCATTTGTGTGACTTAAAATGCTAGGTAGCTCCGTACCCCGCACACCTCACCCCAGACAATGCTAAGCGGTGTATAAATGGAACCTCAAGAAATTCAAAAATATTTGCTTTACAAAGTACTAGCCTATTACCCTGCCTGGGGTGCCTGCATATCTTAGATATATCCAAGAGGGGTACCAGTGTTAGCATGGTCTAGTAGAGGTAGCACTAGCACTGAAAGATTGAATCCTCATTCCCTTCCTTATCTTGACTGTGGTCACAGGGTTTGCTTATTGTCTGCTGTAAAATATCACTTAAATCATCTAGTGAGGTCACTGAGCAACACTGGTGAATGTCTGTGAGTGTTTAAGCAACTGGATCTATCGGAAAGTGTGGTGGTGATGTCAAGTGGTCACTCCCAAAGTCATGTCGATGTCAAAAACTTAGGTAAGTCCGAGAATGAGAGTGAGCCGTTGATCGTTGCAATCAGATTTATGTCTCGCTTCCGCCCAAATGGCCTGAGTGAAGTGTGCTGTGGTGTGTCACAGCAGAGAATGGACAATGTCACTTGGTGCTTCTGGAAGTCACTTGGTGGAAACCATGTTTCATTGATTCTTCCTTTTCCTGTCTCGTAGGTCCAGCCGAAGCCGGGACTTGGTGTTAGGAATGGCGAGTGTCCCTTCCTGAACGGCAGCTTGAGAGGTGACAAGCATCGACAGGGCTCCAGGCTGAACTCCGTCTCCACACAGAGAACCCTAGAGCCAAGGAGCCGGAGGAACAGGGACCGGAGATTCAAAGTCCATTCTCTGGAGCTGCCGCAGCCCAGCGGCACATCAGAAAACTCCAGCGACCCTCTGTGGAGAAGCCCTGGCTGGTCCTCCCTGGCCCACAGCTCAGCCACAGGCACGCGGCAGCACCGACTGTCTATTCCCGTGGAAGGCGAGGTGAGAAGGATGGGCCTTAAGGACAGCAGCTTGGAGAAATTCGAGGCGGAGACGAACGTTGACACTGGCTTCACCGTCGTCAATTCCGAACCCAGGCGATCTTTTCCGAGCAGATTCCCCAGGGATCCTCAGAGCAGCCAGCCGGCAGCCCACTCCTTAGAAGTAAGCACTTCCCCAAACCAAAGAGTCTTTAAGGATAGACTCTGCCCTCTTCCTGGTCAGAGGGACTTTGGTGCAAAGAAGCTGATCTCAAGATGTTCCCATCACCTGCCTGTCCAGGGTGAAGAGAAAGAAGAATTCTTTATATAGCAGAAAACAAACGTGTTTCTCTAAGACACAAGAGCATTGTATTAGCTGTCTTTCTCACTGAAATGACAAAATATCCTACACAAGCGACTGAAGGAAGGGTTCATTTTGACACGTAGTTTGAGAGTAAGGTCCACTCATGGCTGGGAAGTCACGGAAGCGAGAGTGTGCTGGGACTTCAACCCATGGGAAGGTGTTGGTCACATTCAGGGTGGGTCTTCCTTCCTCAGTTAAATCTTTCTGGAAACACCTTTACAGGCACACCCAGAGTCGCGTTTCCATGGTGAGCCTACCTCCAGTTAAGTTGACAGTGTAGATTAGATCAATGATTCAGCATCATTCAGTTTCTCCCTTATCTGAGCGCCCCCCCCCCCCCAAAGCCTAGGCTCACATTGCTTTCACTTTTGGTATTAAAAGTCTCCGGGGTGCATTGTCTTCCTCTGTGGCCTGGTAAGGCTGCTCCCCCCCTCAGGGGGAGGTGATCAAAGAGCAGGCCAATCAGTTCATGTCAGAAGCAGTCCCTGTTCCCCTTACTAGGGAACCCACTTGGACACTGAACTGCCATGGGCTAACAGACTAGGATCAGAAGGAAAAAAAAGAAACCCCTCCCTTACCAGTGGACTTGGGGAGGAGAGTGTGTGGAGAAGGGGGAGGAAGGGAGGGATTGGGAGGGGAGGAGGGTAGGGAGGGAACTAGGGGGGGATACAAAGTAAATAAAGTGTAATTAAAAATAAAAAAAGAATAAAAGAATTGGAAAGAAAAAAAACTATTTAGAAATGAAAAAAAAAAGTCCACGGGGGTGGGGTGGGGTGGGGGTGGGGGGTAGGGTGAGGTGGGGTGGGTGGAGTGGGCAGGGTGGGCGGGGAGGGTGTGGAGGGTAGGGGAGGTATAGTGTGTGTGTGTGTGTGTGTGTGTGTATGTGTGTTTGTTTGTGTGTGTGTGTGGCTGACAGTTGGGCCGGCCAGCTGGAAGGGAATACAGCCAGGCAGAGGAAGGAAGCCCAACACCTGAACTCCTCGATGACACACTAACCCAGCTTCAAAAGTATTTCAGCACCTATCAGGGCTTTGGCACTGTGTGGAAATGTGTTATGCAAATCTGCTTAGTGTGTGTAATGTGGTTTTAATTTTTACTCGAGGTTTCCTAGCTTCTCCCCCTGGACAGTATGGACTACTTATTCTTTAGTGCTTTTTAATTTTTATGTGACCTCCTTTGGTAAGTAGGCCCTGTTTACTATACCCTCTTGTGGTTTCGCCTTTAAAGTTCTTTGCATCAGAAATGAGTGAAAAATGCAAAGTGTTTTAAAAATTGCAAATATTTTTTCCCCGTCCCTGTTTAATTAGTAAATATACCTGAAGCTGGAAAACTAGGATAAAAATGAAAGCTAGACTCTGAGATGTTCCCTCTCTTCTTTCTCATTTGTTTATGTCCTACTCTGAAGGGGTCAGCAGTTATTGTTAAAAAAATCGAGGAAGACACAGGATGAATAGAAAACTCCAGATCTTTGCTGAGCCTGCTGAGAGGTTGTGCTGACTCTACTGTTAGAACAGGACCAGTACTCTAGCTGTATTTTGGGGGCTCCCGGGGGGCGGGGGGCTTTCTTCTTCACTCATATATATGTTCACTCAATAAATATTTTTGCAGGCCATAAGTATTCATGGGTCTGATACTTAAACATTTGGTGATCATCAAACCCAAAAAGTATTAATGGTTTTGGAAGTTCAATAATCTACTGAACCAGCTCTTAAAAAGGTGTTGAATTTCAAATTTATTCCAAAGCCCAGGCCCATATTTGCCGCCGCGTAAAGATGCACTGAACTGTCTTAGTTAACTTATCTCCTTGCTTTGATAAAAGACCCCAGCAAAAGGAAGCTAAGGAATGGAGGGATTGTTTTGGCTGGCCGTTCCAGGTTGCAGTCTGTGGTGATGGGGAGCTCCTGGCTGCAGGAGTTTGAGGTCTCTAGGCATATTGCATCTGCAGTCAGGAAGCAGAGGGAGGGCTCATCCGGGCACCCACTCTCAGGCTGAGTCATCTCAATTAACCTAATCAAGACAATTTCCCACAGGCACCACCAGAGGCTTGATCCCTAAGCATTCTATCCCAATGAAGCCGACAATATTCGGCATCTCATAAGCACTCACAACCTGTAAGTGGGGCCTGGGAATATTACGAGTTGCGATTTGCAGTCTTGAAATCAAAATGACAAGGAACAAGTTCTCTGTTGCCCAGATGCTAGAGTTTGGGGATTTAAAAGACTGAAAATAAATGGAGGCTGGAGAGATGATGGCTCAGTGGTGAAGAGAGCTTGTTGCTCTTCCAGAGGGCACCTGTTTGGTTCCCAGCACCCACACCGGGCAGCTTACAACTGCCTGTAACTCCGATTCCGTGGGATCTGCTTCCCTCTTCTAGTTTGCACAGGGACATGCATACATGTGGTGTACATTCACACGGGCACACATACACAAAAAATTAAAAAATTTAAAAAATATTTGATTCTGTGACCATCCTCTCGGATGGGCGTTATATGAGACTCTACCTGCTTATTTAGCTGCAGGCTTTTCTTCTCTCCCTTTCCTTTGTCCTGAGCTAGATCTGTCAAGGCCTGAACACTTACATCCAACTGGAGAGAAAGCCTCGCACAGGCACAGATGGGTTTTGGGGAAACTGGGGCAATCAGGGACCGTGTGCTCTGCTGAGAACACTCAGAGGACTGAGGAGAATTGCAGATGGATAATGACAGGTATCCTTAACTGTTTTTTTTTTCTGTCCATTAAACATCAATATATTCTCATTGTATGTTCTCTCTACCTAACAGATTAAACTTTAATCTTACAAAATAGAATGAGGAATTTAGTGTTGGTATGGCTTTTTATAACAAAAGTTTTTTGTTTTTTTTTTTTAAACTAATTTCAATTTGAGTTGCCTATAGAAGCACAGCAGGGAGAAGTTTAAAATTTTCCTTGTACGTTATCTCAATTTCTTTAATATAAAACGCAGGTGAGGATATGAGTCCACAGAGATCATAAAAAATATTGAGAAGTTCAAATATGCACCTTACAGAATTGACTTGTAAAATAATGTACTCTTAAAATGTCACCCACTTTCTCACATTCAATGGGAAAATCCAATCTACATGATGAGATGGAAATGTCAGTGAAGCCGGTTGGGATTTAAAATTCTCCCTATAATAGGTGACCTTGAACACGGCGACTCTTTGGTCCTCTGGTGTCTTATCCACTGTAGCAGATGCTGTTAGAGAAAGCCCAGGTAATATATGTGAAAATATTCAGACGCTATTAAGTGCCGTGAGTGCACTTTTTATTATTGTATTATGTTTTATAGTTTACTATACATTGCAGTATTGATGTGATTGTTCCTTCAGGTCCACAGTTTAAAAAGGTATGAGAGAAGTGTTAGTAAAATCAACGAGATCATAAAAAAAGACAAATTTACTTAAGATTTTTAAACTATGTATGCTATTTGTTTTACCTAACAGGAAGATGATAAATGGTAAATAACAAAATTCATCATAAAGTTCGACAGATTATGTACAGCAGAGTAAGTTATGATCTGAGGGCGGTGGTGTTTATAATCCCAGTGCTTTGATGGCAGCAGAGCCATAGCTCACACAGAGTTTTCGCTTATTAGACCTATAAATATCATTACCATGGCACAGTCCATCTTTAGAAGTTCCAGAAACCACCCAGGGCTGTCTGCCTTTCCAGTACCTTCTCAAAGCCTTGTATTGGCTCCTGTCTCCTTCCCTTTCTTCCTTCTCTCCAGCCATTACTCTTTTTTTCCCCTTCTATTCACTTTCTCCTCTCCTTCTCTCTCCTGTGTGCGTTTCTCCCATTCTTCACACATTTTTATGCCTCTTAAGTTTGTATGTTTGTTTTTGGGGACCCACAGGATGAAGGATGAAGGAGAAGGGGGTTTGTCTCATAGTGTCTCTCAGGTTGGCCTCAAACATAGGGAAAAAGGAACAGAACTGTCCAGCATTTCTTCTTTAAGGCTACTAATTGCAGCATCAGGCCGTCCCCAAGACCTGATAACCTCCAAAGGCTTTACCGGATTCTGTCACAATGGCCACCCATCCAAAGGGGCTTGTTAGAATCCTTGTGCGGCTTGAACTTAACATCTTTATATGCATAGTCCTCTCCCTCTCTGCTACTGTGGCACTTTGGAATGTTCTCTTGCTTTATGCAATGATCCAATTAAATAATCCAATTAAGCATGACTGAATTTCAGCAGGGTTTCTAGGAGTTCTTAAATTTTCTTTTTTCATTCATCCTATTCCGAGCTTATCACCAGAAGGTGCTATGGTGCCATGCCTCTGACTTTTCGTGCTGTCTGAATGTGGGTAAATTTTCCTTGTATTAGATATTTGAAAACTGGTTTAAGCTGAGGAGATGGTGGGAGGGAGAGCCCACCTGGAAGATGGAACTGCGAAGTGGAACCCACGGCTTAGCACTTTCTCCACAAGCGTGCTGCTTGTTTGAGGACATCGGATCACTGCTGGCGGTGAGATTATCTCTGATTTTCATAAGAGCTCCCAGAGGCTGGATTCCATACTACCAGACCATCATTTCTGCCGTGTAATTAAGAGCAACAAAATTTATGGACCAAATATTTTGCTAGATGCTACCCTAGGAATTAATAATGAAGACAAACATAGCTCTGTGGCCTGGCTTTGTCCTAATTGCCCATCTAGATATAAGTACCTGGGGCTTCTCCTCTGCTCTCAGTTGCTTCCTCATACTGAATTATAGCAAGCATCGGTTCACATGTGCCCAGAACCTTTTTTTTTTTCTTCTGCCCAGTTCTCCCTTTTCAAACCAGTCATTCTGTCCATTTTTTAATTTCTCAATTTGGCCACGAACAGTTGTGGCACAGAAGGGAGCCTTCAGATGGTCCCTGGACTGCCTGTAATGACAGGAGGCTAAAAGCTGTTTGTAGTTGCCTTTGGTCTATATTAAAAGAACCTTGGTGATTATGCGTTGTT